GGTAATGTAGGAACTTGATTGTTTTTCTGCGTGACTTATTTCTCAGTATATGCGTGTGTCATTTTTGTGCCATTGTTGCCAATTAAATGTGAAGGGCAACACTAACGCCTGGCCAAACGAAATTCCTAAATAGACCCCAGTGTTTAGATGAAGGTGAATCGAACCGTACTACACTGGATGATGAGTGTTTATATGAGTATTCGATTATACTATGCCAGCTGATTTATTTGTTTATAATACTCGGCGAAAATCAGCTACGGTGTGTTTCTATATCATTCTTACACTTTGTTTGACTGCAAATAGACAGATTTTGTGTACATTGTTGCTGCAAATAAAAGAAAACTACAACACCATATTTGATCGTTATACCATAACTTGTAAAAAGCATGAACTCCCAACAAATATTCCGTTAATAACACTTGTATAAACCGCAATCGACGTGTGAACAGCTATTTTTTGAAACCAATTAAAAATTGTTACTAAAATAAGTCATAAGTCTACAAAATTGCGAATCTTGTTTTAGAATTGGGGTTATGCAATGTCACGGTTTCCATGTCAACTATTATTGTGTGTGTGTGTGTATGCTGTTCACAATACGCTTTCAGTTCAGGCATCTAGTTCTAAATCTATTGCACAATTTGTTGTTGCATCACTGATACGTAGAGATAGTGCATATAGTGCATACCCTTGTGTATTTTTGTAAAGATGTTTGGTAGAATCTTGTAAACCAATTTTATTTTACTAAGTACATAGCAACATTTAAAAAAAATATGGTTTACATTTTTTGGCGGCCATCTTGGTATGTTGGCGGCCATCTTGAAATATGTCACCCGAAAACCATATTTTCCTCAATATTTCGTATTTGATTTCCATATTACTTTCTAATAATCCATGTTTCTCAATTCTGTGTGAATTCTTGGTTAATGCACATGAGAAAAAAATCAAGATGGCTGCTTAATTCAAAATGACCGTAAAAATTCAATATGGCTTCCATATCCAGGCATGATACTATTGCAACCATCATAGACCATTTCAGGTAAGTATGTTAATAGGTTTTTGTCTACCTTAGTAAAACCACTTGACTTCAACCATACTAAAATCACTTGCTATATCATGAAATTACATACAAACGTTATTGCAATTCAGCCATTTTGTTACAGTGTCAGCCATCTTGAAATAGTACATTACAGTTATTTCACATGTTTTGTCTTTAATATAACTTTGTATAGATCTTTTTTCTAAAGCATGCCAATTTTTGTTATATCACTGATTTTTTTTTAATATAATTCAAGATAGCTGCCAAATTAGAAATGAACGTACTTTTGGAATTACAACATAATAATATAAATATGTTACTATTTCATACAACAGTATAAGAAGTATATGGCTGTGTAATGATATTACTTTATTTAGT